GGCCCCCTCTCTATCCTCAAGTTATGCCTCCTGCCCTAAGTTGGTACCTCTGAGTTGTCTGTTCTGAAAGGCACCAGTGGAACTGGGCTCTGAAAGGGAGGTTCCAGCCCAGCTGGGCATTCCAGCTTTCCTTTCTCGCCCACCTCTAAGAAGGACATAGAGTTGACTGAAGAGAGTGTGTGGGATTCTGTTCTGAAGGTGGAGATGGTTAATAATGGAAGAAGCACATCAATACATATTTAGTGAAGGTATAGCCATGAGATAAACAATTGGCAGTTTTCCGGTTAACCCTGATAGAGTTTATAATAGTCAAGCATTATTCTAATACTGATTAAGTTACACTCAGCCACTTGATGTCATGCTTGCTCCATGAAACACCAATGTTACCCACCCCTAATTCGTTCCAGCCCAAGTATATGGAGTTCCTTACCCCAAACCAGGCATGCTCACTCACACTGGATGAATAACTCTTTCCCACAAAATGCCATCTGCTGCTATTTTGGCATTTAAGATGCCTCCTTATGCATCTGAGGTGGATCTTTTAATCCAGCCATTAGCATTAGTTTATCCCAAGAAAGGTTTGTTCACAGAACTTGACAACACTTTGATAAATGATTATTGTTTTGGTTTGCTGGCCATTTTCACGAACCGAGGGGCCAGGCCCTATGGAAGTTAGTTGTTAAGATGGCCAGGAGTCAAATAAAGTTCAGATCCAGAGCCACAGATCGGAACAGCATTAGTTACCATCAGATTGTAACTTTCTTAAATAGTCTCTATTATAAATGGATCCTTTAGATTCTCATCTATCTTCTGGATCTTTGGTCCAGTGAGGCGGTCCTGGGCTGGACATGGCATATAATGTCTAAAGTGGATATGTGCATCACTTTGCAGCCCCGTGGCTTGCCAAATTGTCTGGCTTAAGTTAAAAATTTGGTTTGTTTTTGCCGTCACTCAGCCTTTGCTGTCTTGAGCCCACTGGCCCAGCTGGCCGGGTGCAGCCAGAATCTAGTGATACAGCATTATCTAGTGATAATGCTTTAAATGAGGCTCATCTCTGTCATCGTAGTCCCTAGGCTAAGCCTCTCTCCTGGCCCAGTGAGGGCCCCTCCACTGTGTGTCCAGAAGGACCTCTTGCTGGCCCAGTCCTGCCTGACAGGAAGGAGCAGAAGCTGAAATCCTCAAGCCTCTGTTCTCTCCACTGTATCACCTTCATCTTAGTGGGAAATAGAATCATGGGCTTGGATCACATCCTGGACAAGTCACTTTACTTGCTGCAGGATGTCAGGCACATGACTTAAGGAAATGGAGGTTCAGAGAGGTTATCTGAAAAGATTCAGATAGTAGGAACACAGGATTGTTTGAGGATTAGATGAGGTTCCAGGGGCCATAGAGCATTTTATGTCTGTTACATATTGATTAACAGATATCACTATGATTTAATAATGCTTACAATGGCATAGGCCCTTTCTAGTCCTTTCACATGTATTACCTGTTTAAATAAATCATCAGGATAACCTCGTGAATCAGGTACTAGCCCCAGGCTTTCAGAGACTCTGACTTTATTGTTGCAAAATGCAGAATTGGTACCTTGCCCAAGACTATTGAGTTATTTAGTGTCTGAGCTGAGCTAACAGAGGGCTATCAAGTTATGAATCTCATGTGGTAGATTTGTAGGTGTCATGGAACCCGACTGAGATAATTTTGAATGTGGATCTTTTTGGCATCCTTCAAATCATGCACAGTGAGCAACCATCGCTCTGCTTCCAAGGAAGGCACACCCTGCTCTCAATCTTAAGTATCTTCAATTATATTTTCAGTCATTGAGGATACAAGAAATTCCGCTTTCTCCTCACAAAAGCATTGTTCCCCAAATGGCTGCATCTGGAATGTTCAAAAGTCCTGAAAATATTTCGGGAAAATTAATTTTCCCCCTTCTCCATCTGTCCCTTGCACTCCTGCAGGGCCGCCAGCCTCTGTCAGCCATGGGCTGGTGGGAGCAGATCTTCTAAAGCAGATGCTGAGTTAGAGAGGCGGCTTCTCCCCATCCGTCAATTCTAACTGCATTCAAACATTTTCAGTATGTGGGCTCCTTGATAACTTCCACTGTACGGGAAACAAAATGGAGGGAAATGATTATTGGCACAAAAGGAGGAAGCCATAAATCTTCAAATCAGATATAGGACAGATTGGAACAATATGGGTTCTCCAAGGTTGCCATGATAATGTACCTAATAACTCTCCTTGGGCAAAAAGGCAATCTGCTTTCAATCAATCTTGCTTTTTCTGAGCAAAAATACCAATTACGTTGAAGGAAGATTTTTTTTCTTCCTTTTTGATAAAGACTGCTCTCCACTCCAGAAATCATGCTATAGCTGAAAGATATATATTTTCAATTGTGTAGAATGGTATTGGACAGCTGGCATCAAATGAGAAAAGTCAATCCTTTTTCTTTCCCTCCCTTCTCCTGCCAGCATTTGTCTACTTCTTAAGAGAAGTGAAAGCTAATTAAAGGCTTAAGGGATAATATTGATTGCATCAGAATATATTTTATATATGCCCAGCATATTTCCAACTAAGAGAACCCTGACTTTTTCTAAGACTGAATGAATCAGCTGGCTGAGCCTTTGATTCAAAGGTAAGAGGGTGAACTCACCTTCCCTTCCACTTTTTACACGTCTGTCCTAGAGATGAATGATTTCAGAAGAGGAAGAGGGAATGCTGGCAGATGTGCATTCAGTTGTTTGCACACAGGATAGGAAGGATGAATGTTCTGGCATTTCGCTGGACCTATTGCTGACTTGAGTCCAGCTTTGAATGATAACCAGTCTTATGTTGGTGTAGAACTCTGGTGCAGCAAGCTGGCTGGGTGGTGTTAACCTCTCACTCCCTCACCTATTGAATGGGAATAGGTAGCTTGGCCAAGAGCACACTCATGAAGCCAGTGAGCTTTCTGCCTTACTGGAATGTGCACAGAGCAGAACAGGGAATCAAATCTGGCTTACTTTCACATCTGTATGACAAGAAGAGCTCCACCACGTATCTGCCCTGTGGAGGGGCCCATACGTTGGCACCTTCATCTGGCCTTGTTCTTAATCATTGAAATTTGTAGGCAGAAAGCATTAGAATCTCCTCAGGCAGCCCTACTGTCTTTTGCAGAGAAGTCAGAGCAGGAGGGAGAGCCTGTTTCTTGGTCATTTTCTGGACACACTTGGAAAATTCAAAATCAGGTATCTTATTCAGGACATGCAAATTCATTTGCAGCCTGTTTTGTCCACATAAATGCACGTGCCACAAGAAACTTTTTAAGATATGATAGAAAATGTATGTAAGTGTTCAATTAATATCATTTATTCAGACATGCTGCATGTTTCAGGAGGGAGTAGTCATACGGGTTTGGGGCATAAAATTTGGATGGGTGGCCAAGGGACCTCCCTTAACCCAGCAGATAACTGGTTGGAGATCAAAGTGATCATGTTAAAATGTGTCCTCTGAGGGTAGCCCATTGACAGTCTCCTCTCCCTGCAGTGGCTCTGCTTGGCCAGTCACTCAGAGCAGCACCGTAACAATAACAGTCCATAATGGTGATATTATTAACTGTATCGTGCATATTATTGATTTACTCTTTGTTCACATCATTATCCTTTCACCAATGAGTTTACTGCATTATTCTCACATACTTAGTCAAGCACCAAATTACAACAAAAGGCCAGGCTCTTGTAATGGCATCTAATGGAACATTGCTTAAGTGATCATTGCTTCCTCCTATTATGAGCTGCCTCTAGCCAATGAGCTTTCTGCCTTATTGGAATGTTCAGAGAGCAATTATGAAGTGCAAGGGACCTGGCCTTTCTAAAATTTTCCCATGAAATTACCATGCTTCCTGATTGCCACCTGCTCATGCCTCAATGCCCAGTCAGGGGTTTGGCCTCAGTCACCATCAGCCTGAGGGGCACAGGGACCTGGGCTGAGCCCCTTGCTATGGTATCTTTGCTAGAAGACAGCAGGTTTCATCTCCATAGCCAGTTCCCAGCTTTTGGACCCAGGGCTAACTCTTGCACCAAAGTGCTTACTCCTGATTGAACGGATCCTGTAGCAAATCCAAGTGGCCACAGTTTATCTGGTGTCAAAGTCAGATTGGTCCAGGAGCCCAAAGATTTTGGGGAGACTTTGGTTTCAGTTTTGAAAGAGGACTTGTCTCCTCAGGGGGAGCCACCACACTGGGAACAGGCAACCAGTTTGAGCCTCATCCCTTCTGCTTCTCCCCATCTTGAGGCAAATTCCTCTGGCTCTCGTGAAAATCCGAGGCACCCTTGCAAGCAGCTGTCTGGGGATGCACAGCCTGCAGCATGATCTCTGATTGCCTAGGCATCCCACCCATTTAGCCCTGAGTAATGCTCACTTACTGTAAAGTGTTACATGCCCCCATTGTCGGAGGAGTTATGGCGGAAAAATGCAAAATTTCCTTTTTACTGCTTATGGCCAGCACAGCCCATAATGTGTCAAGCCGCACATTAGCCACCCTGATAAAAGTCCGCTTTCTTACACACAAAATCATCGTTTCAGCAAGATTTGTTATCTCATTACCTGATAAGCTCTATGTCATAAACCAAGACTCATTCGGTAAATCTCTCAGGAGGACGCTTTGTGGGCAGAAAGGGAGAGATAGGGATCTGCAAGGGACTTGATAATGCAGCATTTAAGCACAAGCATAATGTCACTTATTGTTAAATGCATAAAACCACTTGGCCAAACGGTTGAGCTTTTAATAGGATTTTGTGCAGCATCAGGTGAGAAGCCATATGCCTTTCCTGTCGAGGAGTCTCTGAACACCTGCCAGCACCACTGCTTTGCCTCACAGCCCTCTGGGGATGGGAGCTGGGCTTCTTTGGAGCCTCTGGAGGAGAAGATGCTTCCCTGCAGCTGCGCGCTTCCTCTGTCCTGCCGGGGTGGGTGCCGGGTCTGTGCCGGGCGGCCCCATCTCACTGGCCTCTCCCATTCAGGCACATTGTGGTCTGCGGACACATCACTCTGGAGAGTGTTTCCAACTTCCTGAAGGACTTTCTGCACAAGGACCGGGATGATGTCAATGTGGAGATCGTCTTTCTTCACAAGTAAGGGGTCCCTGCTGTTTTGAGACCCTCCACCCAACCAGGCATCCTGAGGGGGACACCCTGAGTGTCTGTGGGACTGGTTGTATGGGGGTAAGTTAGGAGACAGGGCAGAGTTGAATCCCCCACAATCCCCTCTGGCCTCATTAGAGAGGATGATATGGAACCAGCGGAAAGGGAGGTGACACACTAGTTCAGTCAAGAGACCTGTGCTTCTGTCTGTGGAGGCAATTCTGGCAAATAACAATGGAGTTCATTGTGGGTCAAACATAGCATTGCTGTCCCCTCAGCCACCTGGATCTGTGTGACACAGGTGTGTCCACAGTGGAATGATTTACCATTTGCTGTGGATTCTTCACAAGCACAGGAGTAACATAGCAACCACACAGGACACACACATAGAGGAAGCAGGCTCTAAGGTAGTAATAAAAGCAACAACAGCTGCCTTTGCTAGAGACTATCAGTATAGGACTGTGCTGGTCACCTTGCCTACAGTCTCTCCTTTAGTTGGCAGAAGGAGTAAAAGTACAAGCTCTGAACTCAGAGTACTCCAACTAAATCCTGACTCAACCAGTTACTTGCTGAACAAGTCACCTAACCTCCCAGGGCCTCAGTTCACACACCAATAACATGGGGAGATTGTAATGGTTTCAACCTCCTTGAGCTGTTCTGAGAATGAAAAGAAGCAATTCATGTAAAGTACACAGAGTAGTATCAGGCATGCAGTAAGTGCCCACTAAATGTTAGCTGTTATTGTGAAAGATAAAATTTATTAGGCTGCATAATCAACCTAGGTAGTAGGTCTTATTATGTTTGTTTTTCAGGTGAGGAAAGGAAGATATCTCCCCTCCACTCAATGTTGTTAAGATTTTAAGCTTTGCCTGATTTCCTGTTAGGTAAAAGTTACTCTGCACAGGGATGGATTGTTGGGAGGCCCAGGCATGTTGACGTGGTGGCACTGTCTATTTTTTATGGAGACAGGTGCATCATGGGGCCAGCCCTGGCCCCAAGTTGTTAAGGAAAAACTTCACATGTTGGTGTTGGCTCAATATGGGCTGACCCCCAGGACTCATTCACGCCCTGAGATCCCACTGAGGTTGACTTCCCTATAAGCTCACATTCTGTACCGTTCCTTCCTTTTGACATTTGTTCACAGAATACCAAACTGACAACATGGTTGAGCACCAGAACTTTTTTCTTAGCACTGACTTCTCTAGGTTCTGAAAAGACTGGCCAGTCCACGAGCACAGGTGCAGAGCCCTCACACCCAATTTAGTGTTTAGCCAGTGCTTACCAGCTGTGGGGCCAGTCCTCTCCTGAGTGCTTTTGAAGATTCAAGACAAGTACAGTGTGTAGGGTCTATGCTCCTATTGGTTGGGCATTCCAGGGTGAGCACATATGCAACAGTTAGGGCACAACATCCATCAGGACAGGCTTCCTGGAAGAGGCCAGTTTGCAATGGATCTGGAAGACTGGCCTGGTTTGCACAGGCAGCTGCTTTTTCCCACCCACTGCTTTAGTCTGAATCAACAAGCTAGCTGCTAATGCTTCAACTGCTAGGATTCACCTTTGTGTCCCCAGCATCTATGAGTGTCAGTGTTGTAGTAGATGGCCCAGTTAATAAACCTCTGAAAGCTTTGGGTTAATGGCATACATTCCTGTAGGGTTGTTTTGAGGTTTAAATGAATTAGTACTTGTCAAGTGCTTAGAAGGGTGTCTGCCACACAGTAAACACTCAAAAACATGAACAGTGATTATTATTTCTGAGTATTTCGTAAATGTTAGGTAAGTGTGGGTTCACTCAGTCCTTGGCACCTAGTGGGTTCTAACTTAGTATCACCTCCCAGGGCCTAGTAGAGTCCCTTACAGAGAGTAGGTATTTTTCATCTCTACAGTAGTAATAAATAAATGAACAGGTCAATAAATAGATGAAAGGAATGTTTAAATCCTTGTCCTTCAATGGGAAAGATGTCTGTATAGCTCAGCACTAAGGATGAAGAATAGTGTCCACATGCATGAATCAAGGACAGTATGGGGAATAAATTACCTGTGTGTGTGGCTGCTCATAGGCGACATTTTTTGATCTAGGCCCTGGAGGATGAGAAGTCCATGAGGTGGAAAAGCTTGGAAGAGGCTTTTGATGGAGGGAAGAGCAGGGGGTTTTGGTTTTCAGCTGGGCTGGGGTTTTATTTTTCTTGAGCCTCTTATTTATGGTAAGAAAGGGGGCTGTTTTGAAGGAGAAAGCCTTTTCCCAGAGGTCTCTCTCTGTGGGAATCTGAGAGAAAGGAGGCCATGAAGGCTGAACTATTAATGGCTGTTATATTCATGTCTGTTTCTTCTCTCCCTGCCAGCATTTCCCCTAACCTGGAGCTTGAAGCTCTGTTCAAACGACATTTTACTCAGGTGGAGTTTTATCAGGGTTCAGTCCTCAATCCACATGATCTTGCAAGAGTCAAGGTAAGAAGAAAGAGGTGACTTCTACTGAAAGGCAGTCTGACTATGGTGAAGGGGACATGCCTCTGAGGATGGCAGGTGTCACCACCAAACCCATAATGAGATAAGTCAGATACTATCAACCTGGACGTCACCCTTCCACTGGTGCTAGGACTTTGTTCTGCTGGCATATGCTGGACCACCTCCCAGCCTTTCCTTACTGGGACTGGTCATAGTGCAAAACTTATTTTGCTGGTTCCCTCAATATCAGTGCCCCTAAAGGAAGCAGACCGGTGGTATGGAATATACAGTCTCATATACAACATACTAAATCAAGTGATTCCTATCTTGAATACTTATATTGGACTCAGTGTAGCTCTGAAATATATTACTTACATCAGAAAGGAAAATGAAAGATAAAATATAAAATAAAATTTTGCCAGGCCATAAAAAATTTGAGCTTCCTTTCTTCCCCCACCAAAGGCTATAGGTACAAAACTAAATATGCTGGTATCTTATATCACAATGGGCTAATCTTTCTTTCTAAAACCTGCTAAGTCAAAAATCTCTTCATAAAGCACACCTGAGGCATATGGAGGAAGGGATACAGCAAAATGACATCTGCTACATTGCTTATTTCATACAGATTTTGTAAGCATGTCCAATATTTGCTTGCCAGTGGGTACAGATTAATACTGTAAACCCACTGACATTTAAATGCTAACTATGGTTGCTACATAATTTAGTAAATGATGTAACTGGCAAACACGAAAAAGCTAAAGGGATTTGGGTAAATTCTTTGGATTATTAAAGAAAACTAAAGACAGTTTGTGACATACCATGTAGGAAACATGCTCTCCCACCAAGTGCAGGAATGGTCTGTTAAGTACAATTACAAAATAGGACAGATTGCAGACCTGAGCCAGCATGAGAATTCTTATGCTTATGGAGTCCAGTTAACCTTAATATTATCCAGACATGATCCAAGTTATGACTAATGTGAAATCTTATGAGAACATGGAGAAAATAGTTATTGTTCATGGATCTAATTTAGTTGCAGGCAATTATTAGCACAACTCATGATCCTCTCCAAGGACTAAGTCTTTTTTGGCTCGTGTTTAGATAAGTCAGTAGGTTGTATTTTGAGGTCATCTGTAACAAATCATTTCATACACATAGATTTGTTGTCCTTTGAATCTCTGAATGCTCATTGAATACTAAACAGTCTTGAGCTGTTATCTGATGTAGGGTCTCATTTCCTCTTATTTCACAGTTCAGATGTGAAAAAGGTTAGATGAGGGACCTCAGAGTCTAAGTTTCTGAATCCCCAACTACTCAGTTAACTTGGTAACCAGACAGGAAGGAGTTTGGCCCACCTAACTCCATTTCCCAAATGGGAAAATCAGGGTGACAGGATGATGGTGCAGACGTTCAGGAAGGGAGGCAGGGAGAGGACTGAAAGCCTTAATTAATTGTTTTTTAAAGAAATCTGGAAAGATTTCTCATAAGTGACTATTGAAAATGAAAAGTATAATTACCAAGTCCATGTTGTATCCTATAACAGCAACAAGAGGAAATGTTTATACCATAACAAGAACTTGGCCACCTACACTTTTGACAAAACTGAAATCTCTCAGGATTATTTTTTCTTTCCTTGCAAAGCCCCAGGTTCCCCAGCGCTGTCAACAGAGAAAGACTGTAACCAAGCGTGGCTGTTTATACGCCTGTGTTCTGTGGTTTTTCCTTTTGGTGTCTTAGATAGAGTCAGCAGATGCGTGCCTCATCCTTGCCAATAAATACTGCGCTGACCCCGATGCGGAAGATGCCTCCAACATCATGAGGTAACAGTGGGGCGGCTGGGGAAGGTTCTGGGCTCCGTGCTCTGTAGCCCGCGGGCTTCCCTTTTGAGGGCACTGACGAGCACCGTCTCTGTGGGACCTTCTTTGCCCCATCAGCCACTCCACATCCGTCACAAGCATCGACTGGGGGTTGCTGAGGCTTTGGTGACTGGAGGACAATGACACAAGGTCTCACCCTCAGGAACCTCAGCCAGGGCTTCTAACTGGTCTTAGACTTGAGATACTTCAGACAGGACTAGAAAAGGAAAGAGATTTAGATGCATGTGGGCCTGAAATAAGGTATCGGGTTCCCTAAAGGGGAGTGGGCCCAAGTATCTTAACTATGGGTGGTTTTGTCCCCCAGGAGACATAAGATATGTAGAGATGTTCTTGGTGCTCATGACTTGGGTGCCGCTCGCGGCTGGTGGGTGGAGGCAGGGATGCTGCTCACACCTTAATCATGGGACAGCCCCCCACGGTGGGGAGTCATCCTGCCCAGACTGTCAGTAGTGCCAAGGTTGAGAAGCACCGTGGTAGAGCTTTCCAAGTGTGTCTCTAGCACATTGATCAATACCCCGCCACCTCTCAAAAGGAGTTTGTTGACCAGTTAGTTTATTTAGGCTAGTTTTCCAAAGTGGAATAGTGTTCTTCACTGAAAACCTTCTCAGTGCTTCTAATGCTAATACTGTATGAATTTCTAAGAGAATCTTCTACAGAGAATTGATCAAACTGTTTGACTACACGTCCCCCTTCTTTTTGTAGAACATCTTATGGGGGGTATTCTTTGGAAATGACTGCCCACTGCCTTTCCTGCAAGTGGACTTGGCCTGTCTGAGGCCCCTCTCTGCTCTACTCCTACTCATTTTTTTCTCATTTCAGAAGAAATGGTTCCATTTTTGTTCTTAACTATAGACCCTTATTCCTGACATCCTGGGGCTATGAAATGTCTAAAAAGTTAAGAGATTTTGCTCCAGATATTGAAAGCCCCTTGGATTTTTCTCTCCTCCGGCATAAATTGCAGAATAGTTAAGAGAGCTGGGAGGGAACAGTAAAGAGAACCTTCTGGGGAAGAGATGAACAGAGAGAAAACATCTCACTCCCACTGTATTCCTGGGGACGCCTGCCTAATAGCGAGCAGCCAGCCTTTTGGTCTAGACAAAGACTCCCCTCTCCCTGCAGCCTGGTGTACTGGGTCCTGGCAATTTACCTGAGGTGGAGGGGTGGGAAGTTGCCTTTGCAATGTTACATTGTTACAATGTAGTCAGTAGCCCCAAGTGACATGAGCTTCCCCATAGGTGAGGTGGGGGAATGCTTCCATCGCATTTCAGATGAGCAAGTCCTTTCCTCAGATTCTGGTCCTGTGTCTGGCAGGTGACATCTGGCCCAGTGCTCTCCCCATGCTTGCCTTTCCTTGGTGATATGCTTAGCGCAGTCAGTCTAAGGAAGGTGATGCATGAACTCTTACTAGCGTTGGGCTTGCCAGACTGCAGGGAGCTGGTAGAATGGTGACATGCTTCCACACCTGGGTCCATGGCCCTAACTAGTCCCAACTGGAAAGTGGCTAGAACAGCCTCAGCTTAACCTATGTCAGTTGGCCCTTACCTTGAATTTGAATTTCCATCCTGCACCAAGTTTTTCTGTCGAAATGGTAAAATGTAACTTTAAGGAACGAGGCTTCATTATTTTCAAATTTTCAAGTAGGAAACAAAAGAAGATGAAACTTAATGTTTTGACCCTACAGAGAAGTCTTGGGCTAGTGCTGCTTTTTTTTTCCTCCCAAAGTGAATACTTGAAATGAAGACTAGCTTTGAAATGGGCATTTATTTTAATCACAATTTTTTATTTAAGCCTTGACTGTGATAGGGTGAATATGAAGGCTTATAGGTTATCAGGGTGATTGGCATGATGCCAAGACGTAAAAATTACTGAACAGAGGTTGTATCAGAAATGTAATTAAGCCATTCATTGACCAGAATGAGAACTAAGGCCCTGGCAGGAAAAGGAAATGGGAAGCTCAGGGTTAAAAATGGGCTCTGTCTTTCCCTTATTTGTATAATTCTCCTTTCTTCTTAGTTTAATGAGATCAATCTGCCCCTTTTGAAATTAAAATGTCAAAGATCCATTTGAAATGAGCTAATGCAGAAAACTGGCTGATGCTGTGAACTGAATTCAGAGGTCTGACCGAGGCTCAAAGTCCTTGAGTTATGAGCGTGGGCCAACACAACACGTTTTCAAAAATAAAATGAAATCCTTCAAGTGCAAAGCCCAGGATGAATTTGTGCAGGGAGAGTCTTACATGTGATCCATTTCCTAAATTCACAAGTTGTAGCTTTTCAGACAAACCTGCTCTCTGGCTGCCTTCTCTCCGTCTTTGCACAAAAAAGGATGAAGCCTAAATGTTTCTTGGTGGGAAGTTGTGGGGTGGTCGTGATAAATGCACAGTTGCATTGCTGATTAGGCCTAGGAGGTGGGCCTTCCTGTGGAATTCCATTCTTTAGCCTTCCTTGTCTCAGAAGGAAATGTACAATGTCACCCCTGACAGAGCTGGTAATGACAAAAACCATAACTTACACATGGAGAGAGCTTTTAATGATATCAAAGCATTTTCACATCTGGCCTTCCATTTGCTGCTCATATCAAGCCTGTGAAATAAATAAAGCAGGTCCTGTTGCCCCCTGTGTCCAGATGAGGAAACAGTCACAGAGTGCCCGGGGATTTCCTGGAGGTCATCCACTTCATTAGTACAAGAGCTGGGACTGGAATCCAGGTGTTTCTATTCCTCTGCTCCCTGCTCCTCCCCTTTTAGCACAGTAATTATTATGTGGAGCAGAAGTGCTGGGGTTGGGTCTGGGGGGAGGAGGCAATTGTTGGTACTGACTAAGGGCAGTTTGGGAGAATTTTCTACCAGATCGTGACCTCCACAAGGCCTTGGCATGTCTCTCTAACCAACATTAACATCATCATTTAGATGCTGATAGCTGAGTCATTGATCCCATCCTAAGAGCCCTGCTGAGAAATCATTTTTATGACAGTGCCCATGTGCGTGTGTTTGTGTGTGTGTCTCAAGTTGGACACAGAGCAAATTGTGTCTAGGATATGTGAGACTACAAACCTCTGTTGGCCCCATGAGTTGGACTTTCTTTGTTTAGATGCCTATACAGGCAGCAAGCACATAATCCCTGCTCCATAACCCTCCACCCCTAAGACCCACATGCTCACATACTATCACCCAGGCACCACAGGACCGCCTCTTCTTTTATGCCCAGGAAACAGTCTGTGGCTATTCCATGGTTTCTTTTTCACACTATCTCGGGGTACAGTGGTTCGAAACAGTTGAACTTGGCCCAGAACCTGCCAACCCTCTGGATAGCCCTGGCTGCTGGCCCCACATTCGGTCTTTGTGGATGGACAGGCAGACCTCGGGGATATTTTGGCTTCTGTTCCAAACCAGCACAATAAAGTGAATATTGCAATAAAGCAAGTCAAATGAATTTTTTGATTTCCCAGGGCATATAAAAGTTATGTGTATGCTACAGTATAGCCCATTAAGTGTGCAATAGCATTATGTCAAAAACAATATATATATCTGATTAAAAAACACTTTATTGCTAAAAATGCGACCATCGTCTGAGCTTTCAGTGAGTCATAATCACTAATCACAGCTCACCGTAACAAATATAATAATAATGAAAACGTTCGAAAGGTGAGAATTACCAAAATGTGACAAAGAGACACGAAGTGAAGAAATGCTGTTGGAAAAATGGCCCCAATAGACTTGCGTGATGCAGGGTTGCCACAAACCTTCAATTTGTTAAAAATATGCAGTTATCTGCGAAGGGCAGTAAAGTGAATCTGCACTAGAATGAGGTGTGCCTGTCATCAGCTCAGTCTTCCCAGCAGACTCCCAGGGAAAGGCAGACCCCGCCTCAGCTTTGGCTTTTTCTCTTTCAGAGTGATCTCCATCAAGAACTACCATCCGAAGATAAGAATCATCACTCAGATGCTGCAGTATCACAACAAGGTAGGACAGTGAGCCTGTCCCAGGGGTGGAGATTCACACGCCGGTCCTGTGTCTTCTTACTGTGCTGCCGAACATGCGCACACACATGCACACACACATACTGATGCAATTCAAAGGCCTGGATAAAGAAGGGTGGTGAGTAAAAACCTCCCTGGGACATTTCAGTCCGAACAACTCATTTACTGTTGGTCTCTGGAAGGAAGTTCCTTTATGTACTGATACATTCATTCATTCAGGAAGCACCTGTTGGACCTCTAGGTTCAGAAATACTGATGCATTCTTAGATCCTGTTCCAGCATCTTCTTGTCTTATGTGCTTCATTTTTATCAGTGCTTTATTTCTTCAGTCAGTATTTATTGAATGCCTACTATGTGGTCAGGGCTCTACCTGACCTCCCTAACCTGCATGGATAACAACAAAGGGGAGGTCCTATTTTGTGCCCTCAGGGATTTAACAATCAAGCAATAGAGGGTGTCTCAGGCAAATCATAGCACTTTTCTACCAGAGACCAGGTGACTGGGAGGAATGAGACATAATGCTGGGTGTAGAATGTGGTGTTCCCAAATTCAAGATGAGACATTGCATGGTTGCATTCAGGCAAAGAGTTGGTTATCCAGAGATTAAACATAAAGGAATTTTCCTAGTGTTATAGTTTGCAAGGGGGATTGGAAAGAAAACAAACATTGGGGTCCATGTTGTTTCCCTTGTGATCACCACTCAGTAAATTGGAGTCCAGTCCCCCATTCAGAGGCGACGCTTCTTCACTCGGCCTGCCATTAAACTCACAGGAAAACAGCTTTGGGGGAGGGAAGGTGGCACCTTTCTCTGTTTGATATGAAACTGGTTTTACCCTTAATGAGGCTTAGAAACTGGAGGCTGCTCAGTACCTGGAATCAGGTGCCCTGTCTGAACAGAATAACTCCCTGTTGGGTTATGAGTGAGTGTGTGTCCCATCTTATAGGCCATATTCCTTACAAAATAGGCAGTCAGGTGCCCCAGAGAAGACCTTGTTCTGCCAAATGCACCAGTGCCATGCCATTATTTCTTAATTGCTGGCAAGTGCGGCCCCATTTTGCTGTGTGGAGGCCCATCAGAGGCTGTTGTTGAGTGAGGCCTGCTGTCGGTAACTAGCCTACCACTGGAGCTTGCGGCCCGCTGTCAACCATTGCCCAGCCCTCGGCAGGTGGTTCCATTGCACGACATGTGGTGCTCCAGCCAGTAGGCTTGGTGGTCGGCACCCAAGGTCCTGTGTGTCCATTTTCCTATTTGTCTCTGGAAAACCCAAGGATGTGGAAGAGATAAAGTGAGGATATTAGTAAATCACAAGCATCAATCTGGAGAAGTTTTTGACAGCAGCCCCCGCAGGTGGAGGTGAATTTTATTAGCAAGGCTGTGGCTGGTGACAGCTCCTGAGGCAATGAACTCTCCTTCTTTCATTTGTGATTTGAAATTTCATGTAGTGTGGGAGTGCTTGAAGCTGTTTAGATTTTTGGCTGAATTTAGATTGAAGAGGAAAATTAGTGTTGTATGCTTAAAAAGGGATGTCAGTTCCTTTTCTTCTCCTTCCAATGAATGTGGATGTAGCATCTTCCAGAAATTGAGGATTTCACCTACATGATTTTTGTCAAACTCAAAGTCGCTCAGCAGACCTAGGATCCAGATGGTACCTGGTCAGTATTTGCATAATCATAGCAAGCTGAATGTCTTTTACAGATCTCTGCATTGTAATTATTCAGCAACAGTGACAAGATACCATCCATGGTTATTTGCTTAAGACATATTTTGTTTCGAACTACTCAATCTATTTGGGTTTTAGAGTTAGGCAATCACTTATGAGACTCTGCCCCTGTAAGATTAGTAAGGGTACAAGGGACAGAGTGACTTTGACATGGCATTTTTCTCAGTCATTTCAGTTTTTTCATCTAGAGAAAGAGCAGAAAGTCCACAGGTCATTGTTTGTCATCTCATTCCTCATAGAATTGCAAATGGACAGTCTTCACATTGCTTTACACTTTAAGCTGTGTCCTAAGGTGCTTGTGCCTTCCTTTGCAAAATGTTTTTCTTCCCATTCCCTTACAATATTATTTTTCTTACTCTCTTACACTTCCTTTCACCAATGACTAGATGTCCAAAGTTCTCCATCCATTAAAACTTGCTTTCTGGAAACAACCTGGTACATGTGTGTAAATTTATATCACTGTCAACATATTCTAAGGGATAGTTAATTCCACAACTGGATGCCAGTCTTAAAAGGTAAAGAATTTCAGTCCCCTGGGATCTAGTGATGGTGGTATTCTAGGGACACTGCCTACTTTCTCTCCATGTAAAACTGGTCCTGAGTTTGCCATCATAATAATCTCAGACATTTGTTTCATATTTTGTGGTTTTAAAAGAGCTTTGACATCCGTTATCTCATTTAGTTCTCATTTGACCATCTGTGCATTTTAGCATCCCAGTGTGACTTCGGACCGTGGAGGGGTCTAAGTTCTGTCTCAGATGGAGTAGCTCTGATGGGTACAACTCATGGTCACTTGGCAGCCAGTGAGCTAAAAGACAGAACTGCCGATGGCCACCTTCTCTTTAAATAGAGTCACAACCTGCTGAAGCAAACTGTGGTTTCTCAGAATAGGCTTTCTAGAAGGACTAAAGTGGATCTGTTTTAGTATCATTAGAATTCACAGAGAGAAACACTTTTGAGCCTAGCCATCTCTGAGGCCAGAGAGAAGAGCAGGGTGTTTTTTTGACTTGAGTGTAAATGGCTTGAGTCTTTTCAAGGAAAGAATGGTTTATGACATCTTGGAAATGATTTAGCTATTAAATAATTTTTTTAAATTTTTCCCAGCAGACTGTAGAGAAAGAGGTCTTTGTCTCTGACCTAGAAGCCAAGTCCTAATGGCCCAAAGGAGATTTGGGCGTTCACAAAGCCCTTGGAGTTTTCTTGCTATAAACTCTTACACTTGAGCAGTAGTGTTAAAGTGTTTTCTCTGAAGTGACCTTTGTTTCTCATGGTGGACCCCCCAATGTTGTATGTGTAGTGAGATGATCAGGGACTGGAATTTCTCTCTCCTGGTTCCCAGGAGGGCCTGTTTTCGCATTCCTTCTTGTTGAGATGAGAAGTGGTGCAGTAGCAGAACGGAGGGAGCCCCCGGTGCTGTGGGACATGCCCTAGCTGTCTCATTCTCCAGAGGAGAGGACTTGCCTCTAGACTCTTGTGCAGTAATGCTGGCATTTTCCACTGTATCCAAATTTCCCTCAAATGAGAAAGGACTGAGTTACCAGAAACAAAGCATTTGAGTTCCTGGGCCAATCTCCTATTTTTGTTTCATGCATATATATGTCCCTCCCCACCTGTGGTGAATGCCTCCCTGCTCCTTGTCCTGCAATTGGAGAAGAAATCATGGCCAAAAAAGGAGGCGGTGGAAGCCTGAGAAATGAAACAAACCTGACTTTCCAGTGTAATAATATGTACAATATGTCTAAGGAACTCAAACCAGATGAGGACATGAGGGGCCCAAGGCCTAAAAGCCTGGACTTCATACCCTAGATGGCACATCGGGAGATGAGAGGCCTGCATGGAAAGGTTTTATTTATTTCTTTTGTTTTTTTTTAAATTTTTTTATTTTGATATCATTAATGTACAATTACTTGAACAACATTATAGTTATTAGACTCCCCCCATTATCAAGTCCCCCCACATACCCCATTATAGTCACTGTCCATCAGCATTGTAAGATGTTATAGAATCATTACTTGTCTTCTCTGTATATACTGCCTTTCCCATGCACCCCCCCACATTATGTGTGCCCCATTTCCTCCCCTTATCCCTCCCTTCCCATCCACCCTCCCAAGTCCCTTTCCCCTTGGTAAATATTAGTCCATTCTTAGGTTCTGTGGGTCTGCTGCTATTTGTTCCTTCAGTTTTTTCTTTGTTCTTATACTCCACAGATAGGTGAAATCATTTGGTACTTGTCTTTCTCTGCCTGGCTTATTTCACTGAGCATAGTACCCTCTAGCTCCATCTATGTTGTTGCAAATGGTAGGATTTGTTTTCTTATGGCTGAATAATATTCCATTGTGTATATGTACCACATCTTCTTTATCCATTCATCTACTGATGGACACTTAGGTTGCTTCCATTTCTTGGCTATTATATATAGTGCTGCGATAAACATAGGAGTGCATATGCCTTTTTCAAACTGGGCTGCTGCATTTTTAGGGTAAATTCCTAGGAGTGGAATTCCTGGGTCAAATGGTATTTCTATTTTGAGCTTTTTGAGGAACCTCCATGCTGCTTTCCACAATGGTTGAACTAGTTTACATTCCCACCAGCAGTGTAGGAGGGTTCCCCTTTCTCCACATCCTCACCAACATTTGTTGTTGTTTGTCTTTTGGATGTTGGCCATCCTAACTTGTGCGGGGTGATATCTCATTGTGGTTTTAATTTGCATTTCTCTGATGATTAGCGATGTGGAGCATCTTTTCATGTGCCTGTTGGTCATCTGAATTTCTTCTTTGGAGAAGTATCTGTTCAGCTCCTCTGCCCATTTTTTAATTGGCTTATTTACTTTTTGTTTGTTGAGGTGCGTGAGCTCCTTATATAATGTATATAATGTTTTATTTGTTTTTTGAAGGTTCCATGTAGGTTATGTGCAACTCTCTGGCGCTTGGACCACCCAAATCTCTTTTCACCCTTAAAGATTTACTTGTTCATTATTTAGATGTAATTTCTCCTCATTCTTCTCAGATGATATTAATGCAAGTGAATATTTCTTCATTTAGACTGTTGTATGCTCTTTAAGGAAGTAAAGGGGAAAAGTAGTTTGTTAAGCCAGTGAGGAGTAAGGAGAGAAATGGGATAAGGGCAGGGCTAGTTGCTAGAACTGGGTACACCGTGGGGGAAGGTCTCTGACACTCAGCTTGACAGGAATTACCATCTGCTACGGCCTGCTTACAGTCCTGTTTTAATTGTGCTGTCCTCAGGGACGACACAGTCATTTCTCCCAGGAGTAAACCCTGCTGGCTTAGGAATCACGAGATTGTCACAGAACTGGATTTTGCAAGAAGGTATTTCACAAGAGTAGTATTTCTGAAAGCAGAGCATGGGGCCATTGGATTTTCTCTCTGTTTTCACAATAGTCTTCTACTTCCTTCTCCTAGCACAACTCTCATGCCTGGAAGTGAAGGGAAGTTTCCTTGGTGCTGCTTGTGTTTGCTGATACATGGAGAGAAAAAGTAATTTCAGGGCTGTATATCTTGGCCTTAGCAGGCACCTAGAACGCTCTGATTCAACCTCCCTTGCAAAACAAAAGATTTTTCTGCTGTGATTTAGAGAAACACTTACTGAGTTTCAGGGACAAACACCTTGCATTTTTAGAGGCAGCCTTTTTCATTTATTAGTCAAGTTACATCTTTAAAAGTTCCTTTATAGAACAAGCCCAAAAAGTACATTCTTGTAATATACACCAGTTAGTCCTAATTCTGGCCCCTGGAGCATGACAAGCCTAAACAGTCTGCCCCAGCAGCACCTAGGTATTCAGAGGTGGCCACCGTGCCTCCATGAAGGTGTGGGCCTTCTTCAGGCTAAACACCGCAGGCTAAAACTGGCTAAACACCGGTTCTCTTAACTGGTCCTCAGAAGATGTTTTCCAGAACCTAAGCTCGCCTGTGCTTGTCGTTTTTCTCTGGAAGTTATTCAATTAATCAGTTTCCATGTACTTGACATTAAGGCCTTTAAAATGTTTTCTGATTAGGTTTTTGCCCCTTTTCCCAATTTTGGAGAATTTTGTGAACTTTGATTCTTTCATCAGATGGATCATCAGTGACTCTGTGCTTCATGCCACTTAAAAAAAAAAATGGGTGAGCATGCCTCTCTGGTTTCCTATCTCAGGATGTAACCTAACTTGAAGAGAATCAGTCCATTTGCAAGAGACTGTAACATGTCTACACTGTGATTTGCCTGATGATTTGGGGAAGTGCCTCTCAAAGTGTGGTCCTCAGCTCAGCAGCCCAGCATCACCTCAAACGTGTTAGACGTGCAGATTCTCCAGCTCCATCACACACCCTACTGAATCAGAAACTCTGGGGAAGGGGCTGACAATATATGTTTGTATAACCCTCCAGGCGATTCTGATGGCCACTCAAGCTTGGGAGCCACTGATTTGGAGCACTGGGAAGGCAGATAAAAAAGAAATCTAAAGATGCAAGCAAATGACAGTCTGAAAATCTTTGAGGAGCCTGAGGATCTTTGAGATCTTTGAGGAGCCAACTTACGAACAGCCTAGCCAGACATCCTAGTAGCATGGGCAGATGTGTCTGTCACAAAGGGAAATTCCCTCTGGACTCTCCTTGGCTAAATGACAGACCTGAGGGGAGGATGTGGGCTTCATAGGTGCAGAAGCCACATTTCAGGGAAACTGAAGTCTGATGAGTAGTAAGAGTTGAATAGAACACCAAACACCAGGCTCAGGCAAAGGAAAGAAAGGATGAGTCTGGTGACCCGAAGCAGCTGGGCAATGCTGCATTTCCCAGAGGAGATTTTAAACAATTGAACATTTAACAAAGGCAGGTCTCATACCTGTTTCTGTTTCCACAGGCCCATCTGCTAAACATCCCAAGCTGGAACTGGAAAGAGGGTGATGATGCAATCTGCCTCGCAGAGCTGAAGCTGGGGTTCATAGCCCAGAGCTGCCTGGCTCAAGGCCTCTCCACCATGCTCGCCAACCTCTTCTCCATGAGGTCATTCATAAAGGTAACGTCTTGTCCTATTAGAGCACATTAGCCCCAGATTCAATTTGTCGTGGGGTTGAGTAGAGAGCACAGCTTAAACTCAAAACAGATCGACGGGCTTTAACCACTTTGGTTGAGCAGAAATTCCTTGTTACAGATTTGGGCATGAGGCCAACTTCTTTCAAAATTATGTTTTTATTTTTATTTGGCACATCCACGGCCATTAAATGATTGTTCAAAGCACAATCCTCTTTTTTTTTAGATAAACCACATGTTTATCTATCAACAAAGCCTCCGCTGTTAAAACAAAAATATGATTTATATACATTCCATATGGCACCAGAGCCTAAAGAAAAGAATTATCATCTTGTTCTTTTACATCAAGTGGCTGGTGGAACTCTCAGTGTGTGGATAAATACAGACCATGTGTTTGTGCTAAAGCCCAAACCCCAACAGCATAATTCATTTATTTATTTCTGCACAATCAAGGAGGCCAGCAGGGCTGCCATGCCATGGTTATTTGAATGGAGAGTGAAATGATGAGCCGAGTCCTCGGCAGCGGCTCCCTTTGCACTGTGAGACAGGCGGTCTGGAGATGCTCATCTCTTTGTCCGCCCACTCAGCCCACAGAGCTCACTGGGCAGCCACCCCAAAGTCCCCGAAGTGGCCTCTGCCTGCTGGACTGACTCAGACAAAGAAGGACCTACCTCTGTCCCCACACGCTAGGCCAGAAGTGTTTCCAGGCACTGGGTTGAGGGTCCAGGCCCCTGCGGCTGGGAGGGCTCTGGCGCCCAGGATAATGACAACAACAGTCCTCACCCTTGCATTGTTCTCAGTCTAGACAATGAAAGAGGCAAACCAGTTCAGTAAAACCTGCCTTGTTTGGGCCTTCCTGATTTGGCATTGGAGGCCCTCAGCTCAGATCTGGACTTAAGTCCCCCTCCCTGTTATTCATTTATCTGCATTCCTCCTCCTGAACTAGTAGTAATTGAGTTGGGAAGTTAGTGAGTCACCAGAGGTCCTGCAAAGGGGGCTGGGAGTTCTGATCACAAAGGTGGGAGATCTCTAGCCTCTTGCTGCCATTACTGTTCTATTCATCACCAACAATAAGATACTCGGTGGAGCTGGGGAAATGGTCCTGAATGTGTGAGAGGGATGGGTGGGAAAGATGGGGAGGCAGGGATGGACTAAGTCTGGCAGTGCTTGTGCTGTACGTCTGCAAGTGGTATGATTTAGAGCACGAATATTTCTAGGTCCTGCCCTCCATACTCACCCAATTTATACTATTTAGCCAATTTATAGTTAACAGTAGTATACATAAAAGAACAAATCATTTTGGTGTCCCTTCAATCACTTTAGCAATGGATGCTTTGATAAAAAAATTCAACTCACTATGTGTCCAAAGATCTCAACTCCATAGAACTCCCAGCTCAGACCCAGCTCATAAGTAAGGACACTGCATTCCTTTCAATGGCTTCTTCCATTCAGGCCGCTATTTCCCTGCCTGGCTGAAACTGAAGGCAGGCAAAATATAGGTGACAGGGAGGTCAGTGTGGCCGGACACAGAGATGAGCCCAAAAGCAGCTATGGCTTTGTGTCTCCCAGGGTTCTTACATTCAACGTGAGGAGCCCAGACCGGGATAAAGAACTGTCACCTGCATGTCCTCTGGCTCTGTTAGTGTCTTCCAGCAGGGAATTGCCCACAGGACCAGGCACGTGGTTCGAGGACCTGGGCTCTGCTTCCTTGTGTTGATGTAACACGGCCTCGGCAGGGCCCTACCACACATGGGGCACTTGACATGCGTATGTTTTGATTTTGTGGTGCCTGCATGGAAACTAGAGCTGCCTGTCAAGAGAATTAATAAAATGGATATGACACTGATTCTTTGGTGTTATTACCAGCAGGGAGAAAGAACTTCTATCCAACTTTCCTCAAGGCTCTGAAGGGCCTCACCTCTGCAGCCAAGGACATCCCCTCCAGCCTAGCTAATTCCACTGCCAAGTTCCTGTTTAGGAAGAGCTTGTGGGAGAGGCCTGGCCGGCCCTGGTCTAACTGAAAACACATTTGCCTCCGGGGGTCATGTTATTGTGTTATTTCTGTCTGGGGCCAACTCCTCCTCCCTGTTTGGAGGTAGCTCTCTGACTATGGCATTTTGACATTCAGGTGGTCTTTGTGTTGGAATTTGCTAAAGCACATGACCTGGAAATAAGAAGGCTCGCCTTCATATGTTTTTTTCATTTCAAATAGGGACAGCCTTCAGCAACTGGTCCCCATTCTGTCGCATCATCTTTGTGCACTTACTCTCCAAATCCCAGATCTTCTCTCTTTGAGGTCATCGTGGACACCATAAGGACACTCTCCTTGGTGTGTTTTATGTATATCTCCTTTTCCAGGGGTTACAAAGCCTTAAGTTATTTTTATTTGGGGGGAGCTGATGGAAAAGAGAATCTGTAAATGCATTATTGTTTGCAGAAATTGCTTCCTTTCCCAGTGTCCCCGATGTCCTAGGCAGATAATTCATCAGCACTTCCATGGGGACAGGTGGGCCTGTTAGAATGGAGGGAGATGGGGTGAAGCTTTGGCAGCATTTGATCCCTTGAGAACACTTAGTGTTTCTGGAAGCCAAAAGTAGAATGTGAGCTCACCTTCTCCCTTGCCCTAGGCAGGCACAGAGGCTGTTCTTCATCCTGCAGAGTACACTGTACTCTGCTTCTGCTGATGGAAGAAGAAGAACAAGGCTGACACTGTGATGGTATATTACAGGCAGAAGCAGAGTGACTATCCATTCCCCTTTTAGCATGTGTGAGACCAAAAGCCAAGCCTGAGAGAGAGGACCATAAAGCTCAGCAAAAGAGAGAGGGGCTACTGGTACATGGGAGTCACGAAAGAGTCCCAGTTCCGAGGTTCCAGGAAGTACGGGGAAGTACTGTTTATCCCCGCAGCAGTGTCACTTTCAGAGATCCTCACCCTAGTTCCCAAGTCATTGCCCCCGAAAGCCTAGCTCCTATTTGGATATTCTATCTTGATCTGAAGTTTTGGGGAATCTCTTTGTACTGTTAGCTCACATCTTTTGGAGTAACAGATTCTTTAAATATGCTAACTATTGTAAAGACTTTTATGGCAATTTGTCCTTAATTTGTTCCACTTAACCTTCAAGGTATGCTTGATTCTGGTATACAGAGATTTGTTACATAAACATGGTAACTTTGTGAAAGAGGCTCAGGTTGGCCACTCAGGTGTCCTCTGGCCCAGCAGCTCATTGCTAAGACAGGTTAAGCATTTTGTCCAGCAGTGCCTAGTTTTCACTCTTAGCTTCTTTAAGGACAACAGGTGAACGTCCTTGTTCCTCTGACTTACTGTCTATGCTATCAACCAGGCTTGGAACATCCTAATCATTTACCACTATCTGACCTTCTACCACCCACCCATCAGGTTCAACTGACAATCTTCCTAATGTCTTCTGTAAAGACCAAGACAATGAGCTTGTCTAGCCTATCCGCCATCACCTCATCCCCAGATAAGTGGCCACACTTACTCTGTATGTGGTTTTCTCACTTGGATGTAATTTAAGATCCATTAATTTTGTTTGTTTTGTTTTAGCTTTAGAGTTTTATCATGTAATACTTAACTTTCTCTTCAATGTATCTGGTTTCAATTTGGGGCTTGACCTGCCATTTTTGAGAATTGTGCAAATTACTATTACTAAGATTAGCTGTCCTTGAGCAAGATAAATTGTGTGTGGGGGTGTAATGTGTGTTTACAGGGTAATTAACTCTTAAAATTTCAGTCTACATGGAGTCTTCAGACTTAGGACATTTAAATCATTCTCATGACGCCAATTGTTTTAAATCTGCTAATCTACCTAGCACTTAATCTAGGTATCTAACCTACACACACACACACACACACACACACACACACACACACACACACACACACACACACACCACATACACATGCACACGGCCTGCAAGATAGCATGCCCTCCATAATTATTTCTTGGTTGAATAAATCAATTATGAAATTGGAGAAAGTATGTGATGTACTTTATTTTTTTCCTACTTCACAAGATTTGGAGTTTGTGGATAAAATGTTACTTACTATTGATCACAACACAGTCTCTTCCCTCACGTGTTTCTATTTCTGAATGAGGAAGCACTAGGGAAATCAGGCCCATGTTATTCAGATTGTATCTTGGCTGAGGTGGGCTTTTTTGGACATGAGAACCATGTGTTCATTATTGTTATTACCATATTGAGATAAACTTACAGCAATACATAGTCCTAGCAGTAATTATAGCCAAGGGAATTGTTCTAATACTTTTACTTTGAGTTGTGTTTATGTGCATATGTGTGTTTACATATATACACATATAAAAACATGGTTTAGGAGCTGGAAATATAAATCAAGAATCTTTAATAATAGCTGGAATGTACTGGGTTCTAACTATGCGATTAGCCCTATGCCAAGTGCTTTATCTGCATCATATCACTGAATTTTCACAATGTCTCTACCTAAATTGGCATTATTATTATCCCCATCCTCCAGTGGCAGAAACTGACACTGTGGGATAAGAGTTCAGCAACCCATGTCTGCACAGAAAGCTTAGAACTGACAGACTCGCATGTCAGACCAGACAAACTGGTTCTGGGTCCTTGAGTAAACTAAGAGGAAATATGATAGATGATATGAGGGACCTTAATTAGTGCCATCGTTTTAGCTTTTCATAGTTTATTTTATGGAAGTTCTTGATTCAGTAGAGATTCCCTGGGCACCTACCACATTCCAGGCAGTGTGCTTATCATTCTGTCCTATTCATGGCTAGGAGGCACTCATAAGCTTCAGGAAACTTCTGTTCTGGTCTGGATAGATGGCACATGTTTGCACAACCCCATGTTGTGGGCCTTGTCAGTCTTCCTCTCTGAGCTGTTCTATAAGCACAGAGGTCATAAGACAGGTGAGGGGTTAGCCTAGGCTAGGACAAGTGAGGAAATAACAAGTTTTTAAAGGTGGAAATGGCA